GCCACCACCACCCGAGCTCGCCAAACTGGGCAAGAACGTTCGCCATTCCTCTTAATCATATGTCATTTTTTCTCTTCATGCATGAACACGTAATCGTCCCTGCGATTTCATCGAGACTTTGTGGCAATGTCTTTATAGTTCACTGGAAAATCTTGAAAGGAATGAAGACCATAGCAGCTGGCTTTAGTAAGCAGACAGTAAGTGGGCATCGTCTGGCTCCAAGTGGTACGTTCTGGGTTAAACCGAGAGAATCGTGATAGACAAGTTAACCTGTTCTTAAGCTATTGAAGGTGGACAGCTTGAAGTGCGCTCACATATAGACCCTTCACATTTGATAGAGGCAATGCAGTAACCCTTTGTGTTGCACTACAGGGAACTCAGTTTCACGGTTACCGTTTACTTTCCATGTGTTCCTATGGCCCATCCATGTTGATTACGCACATAATGGAACAGTTGGTATTTATAATCTGATTTTGGTCCGCGTTTTGAAAGGCACACTTTGAAAATGCCGCTTGTCCCAGCCTTTATATTTGGTATCTTAGGCTGAACAGTTTGGGCGACAATACCTGTTTTAATTACAAGAGAAAGACTGAATGAATTACGGTGACATTGTCGTCAACAGGCTTATCTGACGTCTTAGGATGAGTAACTGCCCGGGTCGTAGCTCTGTGTACCGGAACGACGGGATATGAGTCGGTTAGTGATTACTTCTCTGCTATGGCTTGGGTAATAACTGTTTGGAAATTCAATAAATTATTTTTTCAGGGACACCGTATTTAGTTCGATTGGATACCACTGATGAATAAGTTTCGAAGGATATTACCACGGTTTTCATCTTGAATTTACAGTCTATCCAACCTTTGGGCCAACTGATAAACTGTGTCCAACAAAAATCCTCGTTTTTTGGACGCACATATGGATCCAGACGGACTGAAATGGCTACTTCATATTGGTCACTCGACAATGTGTTCGTAGTCAGCTGGGGAAAACTTGTTTTGTTTTATGCTTTCAATCGAATCGAGAAGATTGTGGTTCCACTATGTGGTAGGTTGGATGCACTAGGTTTTATGTTCAAGGGATTCACACGAAGCACACAATCCATCGTACCAGATATATATATCGAATACATCATCAAATCAGCTCAAAAGTTCCGTCATTGGATAGTTATGTTGGGGCTTTCGATTGGTTTCGCCACAAATAATAGGGCAAAATGTTGAAACACGGTGGTCAGAGGTTCTCGGAAATGCTCGTTTCTAGATTGAAAACACTACTTCCGTTGGTGATTTTCAAATCTCGCTTGTCGCTAAATCTGGTCGAAAAATGTGTTAGATTTGGTAAACTTGATTTCAGCGAGGATCGTTCTGTCATGTCTGTTGGAGTCACCAGCAGTGATACACATAAAAAAGTACGTTTCTGAAGTTCAGTTGCCAGTGGGAAGATCAGTGAGATCGGTTAGCTCTGCGGTAGATACTTCAAGAGCCAAGGGGAGGCTAACAGCCACAAAAGAAATCAGTTCACTTAAGAGACTTTGCTTGCACTCATTGATGAGATAATTAACAGGTGTATAATACTCATTAACAATTGGTACGAAATCACAACAGCCTCGGTTATACCACTTCCTTTAAGATGTTCAAAGTTTCCAGTTTCCATTTGAATCTGTGTTTTTGAGATTGTACAATAAATTAGGTTTAGATCGCCCGGTCTAGATCGTATTGCTAACGGTGCAGATTCGGACGGGAACAGGCATCGTAACTATGCAAAACCTTTTGAGCCGGGTATGCTCGCTTGTTTTTCGAATGAGAGCTTACTTTATGCATAACAGATCCAGATGCCAATCACGTTTATTCACTTATTGTTTGCGTGAAAATCAGTGTTCATCCTGTTGTTTAGTTCATGGCTGTGGTTAGTCATTTTTCATCCTATCCACTCCAGTGAAGGATACAAAATTATCCGGTTGTTAGTACAACTTGACACTTCGAGTTGTCACACCATAGATTTATGTATGGCTTTTGTTCGTTTTGGTTTCTTTGTTTGATCTAGTCTGGTCCCAAATAAGAGTGAATGTAATAATAATAATAATAATAGTAATAATAATAATAATAATACCATTCCCTTCAACAAAGAACATAGAAACCTAGAATCTCTCTACGGGGAACATTTTTCACTGGAGTAGTGCATATCTCTCCTAAACTTTTAGTTATTCAGACAAATCATCAAAAGTACTCTTTTCCTCGCTTGACAAAAGCTCCTGCACACCAGAAATGCATACGTGGTTCTTAAATTCTAATGGACACTTTTGTGCAATACAATTTTGTTGCGGCACACGGTATTCTGTTGAATCGGATCCAGACTAGCATTATGGCACCTTTACTGGCTGTATTGTCTGTTGTGATACATCCGACCGGGTACCTAATTTTTAAGTTCCGAGACTAGTTTTTTCCTCATCTCCGTCAATCATTTTAGTTGTCGTTAATTGAAAACCACCGGAAATTTAGTGTTCAGCTTCTTGAAGCCTTTATGGGTTTACAGCAGAGTATGAGTTATGTGTCAATTTGCTATGGTCTTTGAGAATCTATGGAGCACTAAGTTATATATGTTTTTCTCCGTTGTAACGAAAATCCTAAAAATTTGACTATATAATTTTCACATACCTGCTACCATTGGTTTTGCATCTTATATTTCTGAGATGTTTCTTTTGGGGCGGATAAATTCATAAAAAGTGTTGTTTGCTAAAATTGAAATGCGTTTGCTTTTTCGAATAGGAACTCAAATACCGAAAATATGGACTCAACTTGGAAACCGATGGCGAAAAGAAATGATGATTCTTCAACGCAACCGGCGGAGGAAGATACCCGTTCGTTTCAGCATCCCCGAGTGACTGTACGTCATCGCCTACCTCCAACCCAAGACAGTCAGGGTAGTAGCAGTACCGGTAGTGGTGCCACTGGAATGAGTCTGGGGACCAGTGGGGGTAGTGTAAGCAGCGGGAAATCTGCGAAGCAACCTGGAAAATCTGGTGGAGCTGGACGTGGAACTCGATGCAGTAGTAGTGCTTCATCATCCACGGAGGAGACTGAAGCCAGGGAGCGTCGTTTCGGCAGTCTGGATTTACATCCGCTACCCACAGTAGGCTCATCCACAGCAATGGCTTCTGCTGTACGCCGAAGCCTTATTGGATCTGGGGCCCATTGTCCACATCATTTACACTACAATGCGCTGCTGACTATGCATCAACGTTTCGTGTCACATACTGAGGGACCAGCTGACTCACTGGACTGTCACAGCAGTCAACCGTCCGTACCCACCGTAAACACCCCTGCCGGGTATCCAGGACCAGAAACCGAACCGGCTGCGCTGTCTGCTGCCAGTTTAGCAAACAAATCAGAGATTGAGCCCAGCATGACTGCTACAAAATCAATCTCTACGGCAGTACAAAATCCAATGCGTCTCTTTGGTGTTTTACCGCCATCTTTGTGGCCATGTAAGTTACCTTTACTTCTCGGGTTACTAAAACAACACGACTCACAGTGTTTTATATCCCGCCATTCGTTTGACCAAAATGCAGTGTGTTAAAATTGTCATGTTCGATTTGGATTAACTATTCTTTAGATTTCACCTTGACCTATGATCCTCAGTTCATTCAGTCATACACTGCTTGAACTGACTGTTGTGCGTGAAGGTAAAGTTTGAAGGATGGCCATTGATCTTAATCATTATCATTTATCCCACACCACTACTAACTACTAACTATGGGTTAAATGCCGAGTGTCTTCCAATCCAGGGCTTTGAAATATCTTCGTCGTTTGGTACCTTAATCCACGCCCTATGCAAATCCACAGATTTGGTCACTACGGTAGTGCGGATCTTTTACTCTTCGTCAACCTCTAGGTGTATGCCATCAAAATGAATAAAGTCAATGCACGCTAATAAATCAATGAGTATGAATGGTTTTGTTGGTCAATTCGCTATCGCTGACGTACCCTGTATCCTAAGGCACTGGGTTCGCATTCTGAAACCACCAACCCTCATCCGTTAGAGGCAGCTTTATTGACGTCCGGCTTAATACCTCGCCTACCCCTGTGAGGTTGCAAGTGGGTCACGCTAATCCATGTCCCACTGCTTAGATTGTTGATTACTATGAGTTTGCAACAAATACTTCGCAGTATAGGGGTTAACCCATTCCACTGCTCATCACACAACGGAGTGTAATACAAAACAAAATACCGAGAATCCTCATGCGAATGACCGGTTCTATTTTTATTTAACTAATGAACTTGCGGTTCATGAGACAGTCCGATAGCCGCATAAGAATAATTGCAGTCAGTAGCATGTTTGTTTCCGCAGTTTTGTCTTCATGCATTCATCGTTAATAATGTCGGAGGGACTGTTTCCCGTGGTTCTGACAATGTTTCCTGGATTATTTCACTGCACATGTACACATGCGCACCGTAGTCTTGGCGATCGTTAGTTTTCGGATGTTGCAGAATCGCAGACCAAAAAAGTGCTCACAATCGCACTCGTCGGACACATGCTTCAAGTTAAAAATAGAGGTATTAGCCATTCAGATTGCTTATACAGTTGGGTATGGTGATTCTGACATTGTCAGTGTATCGGTGTATTTGAGGATACGGTGTTGTTCATGGTGTGAAAGTTCTGAAATGCATTAGCATGACACCGTGCCTAGTTTAGATTAAATGTCACAAAGAACTTGGGGCTCCTGCGTCTCGTTGGTGATGTCATACATCCAAACTTTTCATTCCTTGTTTTTCCGAAGCAATTTGGGACGTATTGAGTTCATTTTGATAACCCAGTTGGCTCTTCATCATGCCAATGTGGATGGACAAGCGCCAACAGTTGCGTTTGGTGTGAATCTAGGGATTCGTCGAGGGTTTTGGCAACCATATGCTTGTGATAACAGCCATTGGTCCAACCGCATAGTAGTAGGCATCATGAACCGTCATTGACCACCCCCAGCCTGTTGTCAGACGTACCAACCAGCTTGCTCAGGTCATTGGGCCACAGATCAATACGTTGAAAACCAAGACGTTTACTACCAGAGTTTCTTGCGATGCACAACCTCCCTTGATTAATGGTGATTTTATTAAGTCAACCCCATTTTTAAGGTATCTTGGCTGTACATTCAGACCAAACAGCTGGGCTAAGGATGAAGTTCCACTTCCTGTAGATAGAACTAGGAGAACCTTCCTGCAACTCCTCAGACCGTCGCGGAACCGCTGTGAAATAAGCCTACAAACTAAGCTTCGCATTTATCAGGCTTCCATCCCCCATGCTCACTTATAGTTGTGAATCATGGCCGCTAAGAGTACAAGATATGAGGAGGACAGGTGACTTTGACCGTCGGTGCTAACGTTCCATCTCGAAAGCGAGTTGGGTTTCCAACAATGAGGTTCACTGGTTTGATCACGTGCTCTGAAGGTCTGAAACTCAACTCTTGCGTCAGTCTCTATCTCCTGCATCTTTTCGACTCAGCAGCCAACTGAAGAACTGCAATAGTACGACGAAGGCCGATATGGGACGACTAGGCCTCTAATCCGAAATTGGATCTCACTGTGTCAACCTTGTCACCGATCACCACGCGTAAACCGCCCTCATCAGGGACATCCAAGAAGATGACTTATCCTCATATAGGAGTTAGTTGCTCAAAAATAAAGTAGTAGTAGTAGTAGGCGCACCTAACGACTGACTTTAGACGCTCGGTAGGCAGCCAGCCGATATCTCCACTTACGAAGCGAAGTTGCGGAACTGTTCATCGTGTTTGCATAGAGTATCTTCTTCCTAGTTTGACTTAGGTAAATGAGCGTTTTGAGATGAACCTTCAGATATTGCCTCGACTTCAATTTCTTCCTTATCAGATCGTATTCGTTATCCAGTGTATCTTTCGTTCATGTTCCTCACGATTTGTGACCATAGTCCCGGGACTAAACATAACCTTATACCCCATCGCAGCAATATACCATATTAACTGGGGGAGGGGGCGTTGTTCAGATCATGGAGATACGCCCCTCCCCGATTGATCCATCTTAGTGTGACTTTGCACATCTTTTCCAATTTAACATCCTGTAAATCTTTATCCGTGTAAGAACGACGAATCTAAACCACGTTATACACACAGTGATGCAACGATTTGATACAGGCTCCGCTTTGCTTAACTGTTTTTTCTTTAACTTTATCTATTCAGTCTATAAATGTGTTTATATTGGTGATAAACATGCACGTGATAGGTTAAATAAATAACAGTTAATTTTGTTCTACCTACATTCACTTATTGAACGAATCACGGTTATCTCTACCACCTTTGTAAACAGGCGGTTGACTACTGGTTATCATTATATTTCGCGGTAGCGTCATGGCTACCCTACATATTAGAAAGTGACTTCAATGTGGAGACGAATGAAGTAAAGTTTTAAAAATTGTATCGCAATTTGTTGAAATTGCTTTTGATTTGCTCGTATTCCGGGATCTTTCCGACTAGTTTTGCTCGCGGGCTGTTGTGTCAAAGCATCTCACTACTGGTTTTCAGTCCTCTTTTTCACCCTAGAACTGTGTAGCACCTCACTATTATCTATATGTCCTTTTCTTAACCGATAAGTTGTTAAGTCAAAATCAAAGTTTTATTATGGGAAATACTTACAAGCGGTTGCTTTTCTAGTCCCATAGGATTTGCACAGATGAATCGGTTCACAGTACATACAAAGTAGATGAATGTCACAATTTTTCGTGCGCTTCTACGGATGTTGAAATTTAAGACTTTTCAAAGCTTCATCCAGATTGTGCTTGAATGAATCAATTGTGGGCGCAGAGACAACTTGTGGTGGTAGAGAATTCCAAGTAATGCACACTCTGAGGGCGAATGAATGCCGCCGGCATTTTTGGAGCACTAATTTGAATAAGTGCCCCCGCAGGTGAATGTTGGGCGACAAAGAAAGGAGTGGACGACATGGGTGGTCTGGGTTCTGCATTATTTGGTATACCAAGATCAAATCTCCTCGAATGCGGCGATACTGTGTGGAGTACAGTTGCAGTGATTCCATTCTTTCCGCATAACTCTTGGAATGCAGTCCCATGACCATTTTGGTAGCCATCCTTTGTGGACGTTCCAGAATCTTTTGATCGCGTTGCAGCCATGGATTCCATGCTTGAATGGCGTACTCTGTGTGGGGTCGAATTTAGGCTGATAACAATCGTGGGAACAACATTGGTTCAAATTTGCCAAATACTCGTTTTAGCAAATCAACATGTCTTACAGCGGTAGACGATACCCGGGAGCAGTTTAAAGAAGAGCTTAGGTCGTCTTGAACAATGACGCCGAGATCCTTCTCATTCGAGGCGTACTGTTAATGGAAGTTTTACCCATGCATAGGAGTTACTCAGTCGGCTAACGCTTAGACGATATGTAAATACAAACCTGCATGAACAGGTGGAAAGGTATTAAACTGGAAGCTTCCGATATACCGAAACTAATGAATTAGTCCTATTTGACGTATTCGAATCAGAGTCTACGCCCGTCCTTCACTTTATCAGTACCGTGGCAAACTGTTGTCATGATTTAGAGCCCTTTG